AGAACAGAGGCGGTCAGTTAGCACGGCTATTACCTGCTGGCAAACTGCCTTCGACCCCAGCAAGGTGCTGGACGAAACAAAAAACCTACGGCATCTAGGATTCTCGCGTGGTCCCCCACCGCAATACTGACTAGACGCTACGGGGCTTCGACTTAGGAGATCGGACGGGATCCTGTACTTTGCCCGTGGTATGGCCGTAGATATCATAAGCAGTGTGTCACAATTATATATACTTTGCATTGTGTCATCTTATCAGTCACATCTTGTGGCAACGCGAACGTGAGGTGCAGAGCTTCTTTGAAGTTACCCATGCCAGTGTGCTGGCTGCCTTTGAAGAGGCCTTGTTCTTGCCAGTGCTGCAATATGATGGGTGAAAGCGCTGCCCCCGTCTCCGCACGGCTACCCTTACTGGGCATTGGAGGATGAGGTGCCTCAACACATGTGGAGTCACTGCGCTCCAAAGCAGGGCATCAGCTGGAGGTTGATGGGCGTTGCATTACTTGACCATTGATCAGCTCCAGATGTTGAAACAACAGCTAGCCCTCTGCTCAATAGCACAAGGACTTTACTTGCGCCGGCATACGTCTTCATCCGGAAGACGCGTTGTTACAAATTCCAACCCAAGCCTGATCAGCCGTTGTGGCACGGAGTCCCCACACCGCCCTTTCCCTCCACAAAGGTGATACAACGCGAGCTGATGACATGTGTAGAGGGCTGATTGTGCGCTCAGAACAGCCCGTTTCCTTCCTATCTGTTGTGATTAGGACAGAAAATTCGAGGGAAATTTACTGTGAGCGATCCGATGTCTGGCCCGTCTCAGCATTGCTAGAAACGGTGTGTGTGTGCACGCAATCAAAGAAAATGAGCTCCTAATATGTAGATCATCAAAGGATGTCCGCTATGATCTGTTCATTGGGTATGGTGGTGCGTGACCGCCCGAGACTCCTGATTTTTTCAAGGCTTCTGCGACCACTTCTTCTTCCCAACGTCTTTGGCAGGCTAAGCATTCTCAGCCAGTGTCAATTAAATTTACAGGAAACAAAAAGGGGGTCACGGTCCTTGTATCTTTGTCAAGTTCTTGGGGTAGGGGCGAATCTTGTG